ATGTAATTCTATCTATGGTCCTGCAACATGGGGGGAGGTGACCCCTGTGTCCTACTGACCCCCCTGAATGACCTGTGGTGTAACATGTGATATATATGGGGGGGTGTCTCTCACTGTGGGGTCTCTGCGTGTGGACTCTCTCTCTGTCAACACCATCTTTTATATGTATTTGGTTTAAGCCAAATATATTAAACGACAGCTCGATTCTCATTATAAAACAAAGAAATCTAAATGAACAGCATAACCCTAAGTCCCGTCCACCTTTTCATGAGTAACACTGTGAGTAACAACTGTTTGGCTTCTCTACTCAGCTGTGGTGGATTAAAATACTTCCTTGGCTTCCTTGCTCGGTCCAGTGTGCGTCCTTAAGTATGGTAGTCATCCGGTTGTGTACCAGTTTTATCAGCATCTTTGCTACTGACACAATTGCTCTGGATGTATTCAATGTAGAAAAAAAGGAAAAACGCTGCAAAGTATTCGGGCAATTGAACAGTATAAAACACCCATCCATCCTTTTTCTTCCCCTTTGTCCATTTCTGTGGTGGGCTCAAACTCAGAACCTTCAGGCTCAATGTATAAAACAAAATATTTGAAATTAGTGTATAGGTATAACATAAAAGCAAAACACATGATTCAAATAAACAACATTTGACTTGGTTTGATACTTAAATAATTTCACATTATAGGTAGGCCAACACTTTTACTACTGCAAGTCTTATAAATACCACATAAATAAAACATCAATGGTTCAATGCTGTTTGGACAACCTATCAGCTTAGCCCGGGCGCATGGTGGCGGATTACTTGCCTTCTCCTGTGACAATGTCAGGTAACTATGGTAAGCTTATCCTGAAATAAATATGAAAAGTCTTTAGTCTAAGCTGAAGGTCTCTATCTCCGGGAGAAATTTGAAAACTCTCACAGAAGGGCTGGTGCAGGTGCGGCTCAAGGATCAAACATGCGACCTCCTCACTGTGGGCCGTGAGGGCTAACCACTCTGCCAAGGCCTGTCCCTGCATTGAGAGAGCCTTGGTGTTTGTCATGCTGCAGGGAAAGGCACTGGTAAATGTTCTTGGAACTTCCTTTTTTCGGACATTACGATAGGCTTTACAGTTACACCAAAATACACACTTAAAAATGTATGGTTTGGGACTTAGGCTTGGTTCAGTTCTCGTGTTTTAGATCCCAGACACGTTTGTGAAATGATTGAGACCCCTTGTTCTACACAGAAAGATGTTATCCTCCTCTTCCCCATGACAGTAGGCCTATATGATGGACAAAGGAAGTGCATCAAAGCATGTTTTTTCTCCTCCACATCCTATAAGGCAGCGTCTTGGTGACCCGATGTGATGAACGCAAAGAGAATGCTTCTAAATGAGAAGAAGTGAATCATTGGAACTTCAAACGCACGGGCTTCTCGCACACCCACAAGTGTGAAATTAGTAGCTTGCGGGGTTAGCGCTGACTTGAAAGTGTCCAAATGGGAATTCTCCTTTATGGTTCTCAAATCTTGGTGGAAAAACGAAAATATTATTTATTTTCAAAGAATGGAAATCTTTTAATTGTTTTGTGAAAGCAATATTATTACGCTACTAAACACTCAAACAGCTTCTAAGATGAATAATTGCTTCAGCTTTATTTCAGCACTAGATCTATTCTTGAAAAGCCTTAGTACATTCTTCTATGACACGTTTGCTAAATAGACAAATGAGATCTTGATTCAATGCTTTTCATAATGACCACCGCAGAATGAGTAAAAAAACGAGTACAGGCTGACATCTGCTGGCGAAAAGAAGTATTACAAATGTTCTCTGAAGTTTGAATAGAAGTTTTAAATTTAAGGGTTTGGAATAACGTCTGAATAGATATGAATACATCTTAAGTGTGCTCTTAGTTTTGTCAGTAAATAATAATTATCTATTCTGTCAATAACCACTGGAAAAATAAGCATGTCTAAGTTCCAACATGACATTCTATACATATCTATTTATAAATCATTTCATCCCAGATTCTCAAGACTATATTCTTCTTTATTATTCTATATTCAGGTGTTACGTAAAATTCTATCTTTAACAAAAAATCTAAGATGGTATTTCAATGCTCTATCACACAAAGCTTCCTTGCTGGGCGCCAGGATTTTATTTCCCCCTCAAGATAAAAGCGATGACATCCTTTCTAGGTCACAGCCATCGCAAAAGGGGGTGCAGGGAGAGAATAGACACATTCAAAGGTAAACCAGTGAACCTGTAATCTGTATGGTCTCTGTGTACCCAATTCTCTCTCTCTCTTTCTCTCTCTGTCTTTCTGTCTCCATAACCAGCACTTCTGTCTGACTCATAATTCATTTCTCCATAAAAGCACATGAATAAAACAGTTTAAGAGTTGACGCCAAGGCCGGTTGTAGCCTCCCACACACACACAACTGAGAAAAGAATACTCTGATATAATGCGACCGTATAGACATCAAGCCATAACTCGAATCACCAGTGACTGAGAAAAAAGCCTGGAGCATCCAATTAAAAGTGATACGTCCTGTGATATTCGTAAACCATTTCAGCCTCGTAGCAACAGAGTGAGAGGAGGGATGAGAAGTCAGCACCAAACAGCCTCGAGTGCAGCCTGCAGACATCAAGTATACAACATGTAAGCCACTGCTAAGTCAATATATATATATACTATGTGCGGTATAGGCAATGACCCCACTGTTTGAAATGCATGCCTACTGTTTATTTAGGAGACTTTGAAAACAGCCAATAACTAATACGGCTACATTATTGTGGTTCGAGTCACAGCTGCAGATGGAAATGATCTGGAGTAGAACAAATCTGTCTTTGAGCTTAATGTGCACTCTCCCTTACAAATAGAAGACACAAAAAAACTGAGATTATTAATTGAATCACTTGCCTTATTCATAGTGGATTCATGGTGGATTTGTTCATTTATGAAGCCATCACCCAAGACAATTTCAAAGTTTGGAAGCGCAATACATTTTTTAACAGGGAAAAACGACTGAAAGTGAAAACTGCTTGATGTCACACAAAATTATGAAAAATAGGAATGCATTGGTTTATATAGTGCTTTTCAGGACAGTCAAAGACGCTTCACATGTCATTATTCATTCGGCCACAGCTGCCCTGGGGCACACTGTCAGAAGCAAGGCAACCAGTATGTACCATTGGCCCCTCCGACCACCACCAACCATTCACACACACAGCAGACTCATTCTAGGCAATTTGGGTGAAGTGTCTTGCCTAAGGACACAGCGACAGTTTGGCACTTTACAGCCACAGCCGCCTCACTGTGGCACCTGGTGTTTCCAGAGGTCTCCCATCACAGCTTCAGAGGTCTGACGGAATGTGGAAGTATGGCCACAAATATATTTATTTATCCATTAGCTTGAAATATTAGGGCGGCTTGGTGGCTGAGTGGATAGCACTCTCGCCTCTCAGCATTGCCCTCTCACTCCATCCTCTCACTCCACTCCATCTCTGTGTGGAGTGAGAGGACAAGTGCCCAAAAATAATAACAATTGTAAACCGCTTTGTGACTCTGGTTTGTGAAAGGCGGTATATAAATAAAGATCACTTACTAACTTACTTATTATAAATATCATGAAAAACAGCTGTTATAAGAGCTGGCATAAAGGCAACAGGTATCAAGATGCTAATCAGTTTTTTTGTTGTAAAAAATATTGCTGTCTTGTCTGATTTATGTAACAGTACAAAAATAATTGTAGTAATTGTTGTTTTTTATTTCAGATAAAGTGATCAATGAAAAAATGTGAATTTAAAGTTTATCAAGAAACAAATTTACACATTTCTATTCAGAAACGTTGTAGTTAGAAGGCAATTGTGAAGAGCTTCCACTGTTTGAAACTACCTTAATCAATATAGATAAAAATCCCAATTGTAATATCACGCAGAATAATATATAACCCGTATAGTCATCATTAGAAGGTCTAATCTATTTTCTAATATTCTCCCTCTAGCTCATTTTCAAAGCATGGACTCATGGATTTTATTTTTCACACGAGATACTGTAAAGGAGACCGATTTCAAGGTTCATGGTGCAAAAAAGGTGACCTGATGACGTAGATCTAAAGATTTCAGGTCCGTTCAATACCAGTGTGTCCTTCCCACCTCCCTGTTCAAACAAGCGAGCAAAAGAACGTCAGTGGATGAGTCAAGCTTTGTCAATGATTGAGAGCAAATTGTCAATCACTGCGACGGCCACATACAGTAAGTCCGAAAGTGAAGCAAAGTGAGCCAATAAGGCCGATATTATAATAGATCCATGGGCCTACCACTCAAAATTTTGTTTGTCTTGTCCTTGTGTCTTGTTGTCTTTGCTTGCTTACTAACATTTTTTTTCATAAGATTTTAATTGTATATTTATAAAGCCAAGAATCAGAGTTTGAACTTGATCAAAGTTGTGTAAAACTCTTATTTGATGACCCAAGTCCTCGATAATACAGGTGAGACGCAGAAAATGTGATAATTTATAGAGTTTATTCATGCAATTCACCGGTTTAGACACAGCAAAGTATCCTGTGAGGCCTTTATGGCAAAATATGATCATATTCTGAGATGTTTTATTTGGGGGTTTACAAGCTGGGAACATATATTTAATGAAAAGTTATAAGAGTTAAAGGCTTGATAAATCTCACTTTGTGTCTAAAGACCATGTCATTTTAGTTTCATATTGTAAGATGAATTAGAGGTAAATGGACTTTTGAACAATATTCTAATCTGCTGGTACTGGACACCTGAATATCTCCTATGGGGGATCAATAAAGTGTCTATCTACCTATCTATGTATAGTCTATCGTTGTCAATTGTCAAAAACACACTCATTTACAACAAAATATGAGAATAATTAGTTTTATTACAAAATCATTCATTCATGACCATTACTTCTTTCTATCTGCTTGAGGTGTAAAATCGAAGTCCAACTAGAGCCCCATAGTGTAAGCAGTCCTGTTTATTTTGATTCGGTGGGTTATTATTGATCGAAAACCTTGCAGTGCAGGTAAGCTAGCTTCTCCGTCCGACTCTTCCTCAGCAGGGGAAACCACTCCTGATGATGCAGCTCCACGACCTTGTACCCGGCCAACTTCAGGTGCCTCCTCTTCATGGCGTGAAGTCCCAGGAGCTGATCAGAACGATAGCAGAAGTGATTTCTGTTACACACCTGGATGGCGAGTTTCACTGGCCATTTTTTACCCTTATACACAGAACTTTTGGTTAATAGGCCTGTGATTTCATTGGTCAGGATTAACCCAGTATCAAAAGTCTCCTCTTTATGGTGCTGTTCAATTCTCTGGAGTGTCGGTTTAGCAGGTTTTAATGTTTTTTTGGTGTTTAATAACTGGTCGACAAGATCCTCAGTCAGAGTAACCCCAACGTTCATTTTGTCCCAGTTGTAAACGCTCTCTGCTTTGGGTTTGGAAGACGGGTTTTCAGATGTACTGCTTGGTAGGGTGACTGGAACGGGCTGTCCTTTAGAATCCAAATGCACTTCTAGGTCGATGGAGCGAGTATATGGCAGTATCATCCTCTTGCGCACAAACTCATCTCCTCCGAGTAAATTTCTCAAACCTAATTCCGCTTCAACCACTTCCTGTTTTCGGCAGACATCCGACTGTGCGAAACTCCAAAGCATGTCGGCCACCTCTTCTTTCAGTTCAGAGCTCAGGCGCGGCCCGGTCCAAAGTGGCAACTCCTTTTCTACAACGCCGTTTAAAGTATACAAATCCTTCTTGAGATCCAGCTGTGTGGATTTCAGTGCCAGGCTGACAAACTCTGGGCTAAGTGCGAGAGATAATAAGTCTTCGGGAAAAACAGAGACAAAAGCGAGCCCTAAGAGTCCAGTGAGAAGATGCTCTGGGTAGCGATAAAATTCAGCTTTACGTTGTCTAAGTCCCTCTGTGAGACCAGGATACAGACTTGGGTTTTTAGCCGGGAGAAATCCTAATGTCCCGAATGCCCACAAAAGCTTACACGAGTCTTTACTCCTACAATGTGGCACTAGCAAGGGAACTCTTTCTGCTATTCCCATAAGTATATCGTCACTGCGGTAGTGCAGAGCCGAACAGGCCAGTGCGATATGCATGAGACCCTGTACGCCCATTTGGTGCGCCCGCCTCGGTACCTCCTTTCCCATCGCCTCCAACCACCCCTTGTGATAGAAATAGTTAAACCGCATATACTTCATCACGTTTACAAGTCCAAAGTCACTCATGTCCTCCACAGAAACGTGCGCTTTGTCCAAAATACGCGTCACAGCTGCTTCGGATAGAGAGGTTTGAGATTTGAAAAGACCTAAGCATACAGTGCCCACCTCCTCTGGGTGTAGCTGGTGCAAGAAGCGCATCAACAGCTGTTCTAAAAGTTGAATAAGGTCTTTGGGGAAATATCTGCCTTCTCCCACAATGTAGAGGAGATGCACTAGCTCTGGAGCCCTTATCTGGCCTACAAATGAAGGGACGAGCGCGTAAAAGCGTTTCAAATATTGGGGCACCGGTCTCCCAATGCAGCGCCACAAATCTGCAGCGAACAGCAACTGGTGTAGAGTCATTTGATCGACTCTTTGGCTCAACTCTGATTCATACACAGCTAATACGGTGTGAGCTGAAGGAATATCCAGCCAGGCAAATCCCTGCAACACTTCCAGTAGCTGAGATAAGGAATATAGCTGCAGATTTTCCACTGAATATCTGAGTAACATGGCAAAGCGCTGATCGCTCCTAACTAGTGCGGTCTTGTCAGGGTCCACACAGCTCAGCTCCAAGATAATACTGGAAACATCAGATGGTTTCAAAGCTCCTTTAAGCACCGTGACTCTTTGTAATAACGTCCAGGCTTTGTCAAGCGGTGTAACGACAGGTTTCTGGGTAAAATCAAGAGACATGTGCGTATATTCAGGTCTGGATTTGAGAAAGGCACGCATGTCAAATCTAATGTCGGGTGGAATAGGTCGTCTCGGAGCCTGCGATTCAGTTTCAGGGCTTTTGTTGAATGCCAAGTCAAGCAGAGTGTTTTTGGTGCTAGAAAGATGTCGCGAAGAGCTGACGCTATATGTATTACCTTGTTGCCAGAAACAAGGGGGAAGAAAAGACAGACGGGTTTCCTCCTCTTTAATTTCTCCATGGCGCAGAGCGGGCTGTAGATTCCTGACGTGGTGATATGAAGAGGGGTTGTAAAAAAGCTGGTACCCAAGTTCGAACTGCTCTTCTTTGTCTTGTAAAGCTTCATCCACGGCCTGTGCTGCTGCTGTGCTGTGTGGACCATTTGCCGAGATCGAGACTTTTAGCGTTCTCGAGAGGTAATGTAGCCTCAGCACTCGTTGACGGAGTCCAGCGGTAGCCATCAATCTGTGCAGAGAAAATAACGGCAAACATTCAATGCAACTACTGTACTAATAGTTAGACAAATATTCATAGACTCTGCTTTACAAGTTCAGTTACATTTCAATCATAGGTTTCATAATTATGAAAAAATAGGAGCATTTCAATAGTGAAGATTAGCAAACTAACGTATCTTTTGGTTGTGGTTAAAAAGGCCCTCAAAAATATTAATTACAACAGGAAGCAGAGATTCCTGCACATAAATAAATACAAATAAGTTTGGGAACGGTGTGTGAACAAAATTTGGGGAGAATATCGAAATGGTACAAAAATGTTCTGAAAGTGATGACAGTTCAGTGAGTTTGTAAAGACCTAATTCAGAACAGCAGTCATCTCAGAAAGAAATTACTAAATTGTTGATTATTCAATAACAGTAAATAAAATTATAAAACCAACAAATAGGAATCATAGGTTCCAAGAAGACCAATGCCTGTAAATCTTCATAAATGTCCTGCATTTACAGAGATGTTCATTTATTTACTACATACTTATTTTTGACCAAATATATCAATTCAGTTTGTGACATGTCTAGTCATGCCATCAATCACAACCAGGAAGTAACATTATAGGATAACACTATTGCCAAACTGGAATTACTGTTTTAAGTCATTAGCAATTCTTGAATCATCTGTTGTGAGTAGTAATGTCTAGAATTCTTGAATTATCTGTAGTGAGCAGTAATATCTAAAGTTTTAAATGCTAATGTTTGAATAGGAAGTGCCCATATTCATCAGAATACTTGACAATCGGAATATTTGACATGGTTCAAGTTGTCTTCTTTGAAATGTTGCGTGAAATATCTAACATTAACTAAGTCCTGGAGGAGGCTTCTTTTGGAGCTGCAGCACATGGATCTAACGTAAATGTCATCGGTATTCTTTAAATGACCACAATCATGAGAGAGATGCAGACTAAAACATGCATCCATAAACGATACGCACCTAAAGAGAAACCAGCCAATAATCGTTCTGTTTTTTCGCAATTCGTACTGTCACGATACAAGCGATCCAGTCCAGGGAGCCGCCATATCTGACCAACATATGACCTACGGTAGCCGCGAAGGTTCCGAACCGAAACAGGAAAGAGTTGTTTTGTTGTTATTTGTTTCATTGTTATATTATTATTATCATTATAATTATGAATTTAGCTCTTGAAACATAAACGCTATCACCATTTGATTTAAAATAATATACATTTTACAAAACAAATGTTGAAACGAATATATTCTTACCATCTTTCTTCCCATTTTCAATTTATTTTTATTAAGATATTTTAACATTTGATAGTTTATTTTTCGGTTTTACAATCGTATAGGCACATACTAAAGGCCATATTTACAGTAATCACTTCACAACAATGAAATATTTTTTTCATGGGGATTCGATTAGAAGAGGGCACCTTTACCCTAACATGTCAAGAACTCGGCCATGTAGACTTTGTTATTTTTTATAAAGCAAAATTCAAATCAAACACCTTATGTTTAATCGTTTCACACAAAAAAGACAAATTCCATTAAAAAAATTACCTATAATGAAACATATCCGTGTGCACAATGGGTCGTAATAAATCCGTTTGTATCTGCATTTGTACTAAAAGAAGTAACAGGTGAAGGATCCCTGGTGAAAGCTGAGAAACTTTGAGAGGAAGTGCTCGCGTTATGCTAATGGGAAGAGTTGCGCCTGTGCCGGAGCCGCCCTTCATTCACCACATGGTTAAACCGACTCTACTCGCGCCACTTTCGCAATCTTACTACGCTTCCCAAACTCCAAACAAATCCCAATAGTACCACATGCTTGGGTTTTTTTGGATTGTTGCCGCCGGCGTGGTCTACTTTGGAAGTCTTTTTGGTATTCTATTTATCAAATAAGGTGCAAATAGTGAGAAAACGGTAAGTCTAACAAGTGAGTGAAGATGGAGGATTTTGAAGCCAGTGTCTTGTTACGCACATGTTGTTGGCAGGAGACCTGTTGTTAGCCTTTTCTGGAGTTGCGTCAGGAAAGTGATGTGTTGCGGCTTTATGCGGCAACACTCTTCGATCTGCAGTTCACGTTAGGCAAGATGTTAAGTGTTTCGTTTCAGCGTTTGTAAGCTATGTCGTAAAGGACTCATGGCGTTGGAGAATGAGGGAGATTTGAAAAACATGTGTTGCTGCTCCTCAAGTTATAGCGTAGGGAAGTTATTCTGTCCCTTTTTAATATGTCTCATTTATTCAGTTAGTCATAATGTCACGCCCTATTGGTGCGCAGGCGTTTTATGAAGTATACAAACAAATAGCGGAGCGCTCCCTGTGTGTTTTGTGCGCAGCTGTGCTTGTTAAAAGTAGTACAGAACAAAGCGGCAGCACATGGGCTGGTGTAGGCCGCGTTAGCATCTCTGCTAATGCTAGTTCACATTATTACATGTTTCATACGAGTTTTCATGAACTTCAAATCATCCTATTGTTGTTGTTACGATAGAGTGAACTACACATATGTGTGTACATGTACATTCGTGGAAGACTTAGGGAAGGAACGAAAACACGATGTTAGCATAATAATAATGGGGGTAGCTTGCTAACCCTGGTTCTTTTGATTTCTGTGTCTTATCATTATGTAAGTGATGTACTACAAGCGGCATGAGCAACACTTAGTAGAGTTATGTAGGATCGTTATGAAGTTTTGGGCTGTGGTAATGGACACGCGTTAGCTTGTGGCTAACGCGTGTTCACGGTGCAGTGTTTTGAGTCTTCTCGTGTGTGGCTCTTGCACTGATCAGGACCTCTCTGCGGTGCGTGCGCGCGTCAATGCGTACGCACCGGGGCAAAATGACTTCAAGTAAACTTCATACACAAATAAACATGTTTGTAAAACGGGCAATTGCGGGCTTGTAGGCGCCATGTTGCCGTATGGGGGAGGGGAACACAATGTGACTATTACGCTTGTTTCTCCTGGGTCCAGCCTTTTTATTTTTTCTAATTTCCAGACGTGACTGAAAATGTCATGTTAGTTATCGGGTAAACTAAACACACATGTCGGGTGTCAAATGTGGATCCGTTTCACACCGTTGCCCATTAAAGTATAACTTTCCTAATATTAAATATTTCTATTAAATATTTCTAAGAGGTGTCATTAAAGTTAACTTACAAGACATGAGTATGAAGTGCTTTTGTCATATTAATGTGTTTTTCTGCTTATATTTATGCTCCAGTAACATTCTGCTGTCTTGTTTGTCGTTTCAGGCTTATTCTAAGGCACAACCTTTTGTGGAGACCTCTTCAATGTGGACTTGAAGCAGATTTGATGCGAATAAAACCCCCTACCTGACATTTAAAAGTCACTGTAGTGTCAAAGTGCTTACAGTGCAGGTAGTCTTGTATAATCTACTGCAGTGGAGGCACTTTCAGCACTATTGTGATGAGACATTGTAGGAGCACTGCTTGAATACACCGCACTTGACCAGTGTACACGTATTGTCTGGTTGTCTGCTACTTTTAAAAGTTGCAGTCCTCAAGGACCCAGAACTCCTCCCCGGAAGACCGACTGCACTTCAGCTTTATCCATTTGTGTGAGAAAATTGCGTATTATCGAAAGGATATTTTCTGGTGCTTATGCTAAGGTGCATCTAGTGCAGATAGTGAAGTAGACTAGCACCTACTGCCCTAAGTGCTCCTTCTGGCATAAGGGACTGGAGTGCTCTTCTTATTTCCCATGCAAGTATTAATTTCTCACAGATCACAGTTAGTTTTGCCTAGTTGCGCTGCAAGAAAGAGAGTTGTGCAAATCTATGCAAAACTGACAGTGGTCTGTATTTACATCATTTTGTGACAATTTTGGCTGGACATGGTTTCAGTGGTATTAAAGTGCTTATAGTGCAGGTAGTTTGAATATTTCTACTGCAGTATGAGCACTTAAAGTACTTCTAGCCTTTTATCACCTCACCAAGATGATTGATCTACCTTGTGTTCATAGGTCTCTGGTTAGTTTTGCTGGTTTGCTGTCAGCTTTCATATAAGATGCTGTGCAAATCCATGCAAAACTGATCATGGGCCTGAAATAATTCTAATGTACGTGTCCATGTGTGTTGTCTGTTATTTGCAGGTTGGGAGAGGTCGCAATGCTCTATACTTCTGTGGTATTGCACTTGTCCCGGCCTGTGAATGATTAGGGACGGTTCTGCTGTGGTCTTCAGTCATAGGTGTTACGTTTTGTCTTTTGTTCATTCACCAAATAAAGACACTTGTGGTACCATGGGCTTATCCTTCTGCGTGTTATTTTGGTGTGCGGGTTAGTGTATTCCAGGTTAAAAAGTTACTATTGTTTTTCTGAAAAGCAACAGTTTTCCATGTGCATCTGTGCAGAGTCCAAACACACTTGAATTGCACAAATTCTTAAACCATCCTAGTGTGTTGAACTCAGATCTTTGACCTTGGTGCCTTTCAGTAGTGGCTTTAACTATTTTAAAAGATAGCTATCCTGTCTCATTAAAAGCTACATTAATGTTTTGGGTTTTTCCTTGTTTCACGTGTTGCCAAATATTTTGTAGTGGCGACAACCATCCACCAGAGGGAGCCATCTGTTAAGTTATTTAACATGCCTGATCGTATTCCTGCAGAGTGAAGTTGATTTTTGTCTTGATGCAAAGATCTCCGCTTTTATGACATTAACTACGTTGTGTCCTCATGGGAAGAAATGCAAAAGTTTGGGCTTAATTAACAAGTTTATTATAAAATCTGGACAGCCCTACACCTTATTAACTCTTCCACGGCACCATGCAAAGACACTCCACTTGGGCACAATCCTGACTTCCTCGCTAACAAAACACCTGTAGACTACCCCTCCTGGCAAGATAAGGGAATCACACTCCTGCAACATCTCAAAATAATACCCTTTAACCTTCAAAGAACTTTCCAAAAAATGTAACCACCTAAGTCAACACATCTTTCAATATCTACAAATGAAGGCAACAGCGGGACCAAAATTAATCTTACATTTAATACTCTTACTCCACCTGAACTGCTTGAAGACATCAACTTCAAGAAAACTATCACCAAACTTTATACATGTATCGACACCGGACCGAACACCAAAATACATGATACACTACCCCTTGAAGCCTGTATAGAAATATGCAATAATACATTCAGCATGACCCACAATACAAATCTACAGTTAATACAATATAAGCTCAACCGAACACACATCACACGATGCAGAAAATATATGATGGGACTCGCAGACACACATATACACTCAAGGAGCTCCAGATACATGGACGTCGGAACTATTTTCTGAGAGGGGGGGCGGGTTTTTGTTGGGAGAGTCGAGGGAGAGACTCATACTTGGATTACACTGGATAATAACACCATCTTAATTGTTAAGAAAAACAAAATAAACAATATATATCAAGCAAGTCACTTATCAAACTGAACTTTTTTTTTTCAATACGCATTCATGCGTCAGTCTCTCCGGTGGCTTCATTGTGTTGTGTAGCCCAGTGACGTGCGGTCAGATGAGGCAGGCAAGGCCCTCACCTAAGATCATAGAAAGAAAAGTAATAAAATGGATACAATAATGTTTGGTCACTTTATCAAGTGATTTGTGCTGTGTCTTATTTCATTTATTTATACCTTGAAATCGCAGATTTGACAGAGCGGTGCTGTGAGGCGAGCCTCTCTTGGGGAGACGTAAAAAGCAACAGCTCACAGGGAGAGTCCTGTGAGGTGCTATCAAACTGTTTTCTCTGTTTATCACAGTTTAAAAAGTTCAAAAATATTTAATTTACAATCAACATGTTTACATTTAAGAGGATGGCTCATAAATTGTGTTTTTGAAGCAAATATGGGTCTTAATCGCGCTCAACCACAGCTTGTAAGTGAGGAAAGCCTCAGGGGGGCGCTTGTGAGCCCAAACTTTGGCTGCATCCAATTCCATCAGAAAGCTCCTTTCTTGTTCTTCTTCTGCTAAGGGCAGCTACAGGTTTGGCTAACATACCTATAATACATTTTAAGATAATTTAAAATGCACTTAGAGTAATGTTTTGCTTCCAATGATGATATGAATCATAAGAAAAGGAGGTGAAGGGTAAGGTTGAATTTAGAAATTGGATTTAACCGGGAGTCGGCTGCAGCAAAACTCGGAGTTTACGGAGGAGACACCCGTTTTTTTTACTTTTTAAAACTCATTGAACTTATTTCCAAATGGAGGATTACATGTCTGTGCTCAAACTATTATCTGGACTTAAACATGAAACTGGTCCTAACTGAAGTGGTCTGTGCTGTTCATTAATACCTAAGGTAAGGCCCATAACACACTTTGTACTTTTTACAAACGTTTGCGTTTTGTATGAGAAAACAATGCAGACATTTAAATCATATTCTGCTGTAGCCAAACAAATTGTGTATAAGCCGCTCCTGTTCCTGTTGGTTTATATGATGTATAATCATATGAACACATGATTGATCCCCCACCGCACGTCACTGGTGTAGCCAGGTCTCTAATCTGCGCAAGGCTGAGAAAGAGCGCTCAGAGGCTGCGACAGATATTAGCCAGACAGAGCTTCAT